GAAAGCTTTGGCGTAGTCGACGAATACTGCACCTGTACGCGAATCAGGGGTGGGTCTTGTGAGGGCTGCGCGTAGATGCAATAGTTGATCTAACGTCGAGTGACCAGGTCTAAATCCAGATTGTTGTGGGGTCAGCTTGGTTTCAATGACATCTCGAATTCGGGCTGCAATGATCCGTTCCATTAATTTGGACAGACAACTAGTGAGAGTAACTGGTCTGAATGAATCCAAGTCGGTGGCCTTCTTTCTGGGTTTAAGGAGTGGCACAATGATGCCTACTTTCCAAGAGACTGGAACGACGCCTGTACGGAGACTCTCGTTGAAGAGGGCAAGAGTCTCCGCTTTGGCACGGGGTCCCAAGTGTTGGAGTGCCTCGCCGTAGATACCATCTGGTCCTGCGGCCGTCCCTTTAGGAAGGAGACGCTGTGCCCGTTCCAGTTCTGCTGTTGTAATGGGTGTGAATTCTGTATCGGTGACTGGAATGGGCGGTGGAGGGTAGGAATGTGGGTGACGTTTAGCTCGTCTTGAATATAAACGGATAAAGTGCTTGGCTTTCGGATTTTCCGTGAGTACCGTATTATTAATCTTTATCGCCGGGGTACTGAGGGGGCGCGGGGCGTAAATCCTCTTCAAAATGTTCCAACGGCAGCCGTCTGCCACGGCCATGTTATTACAGAGGGTTTTCCATCTCTTATGGGAAGCTTGTCTTGGCATTTCTCTCCTGCGAGCTACTAATCTGTCTCAGGAGACTGAGGGGCTGCAGTTGTAAATCTTCTTTTCTATTTCCTCTAATTCTGGAGTCCAAAAAGGAGTAGTACCTCGACCTCCGCGTGGAACCGCCGCAGCTGTTGCGATACGGATGGCGGAGGTCAGCAGTCGTTCTCTCTTGTGAACGCTCATTTTCTTTGAGGCGTTTATTGCACTGTGCGTTCGTCAGTTGACGAAAGCGAGACCATTTCGCCTTCTTCCATGCATAAATGGGTGCACGAGGGCGAGGGAACCGCAGTGGTTCGTCATCATCTACTACTGCTACGTCGAAGAGGATGATGTAATGGTCGCTGTCCAGGGAGAAGGATGCCGTCCATGACTCTAGAAGGCATTCTCGGGACAGTGTCACATCTGGCGTGGACGGACCATGTCGTGTGGTGTGGCGAGTGCATTCTCCAGTGTTATGAATAACATGTATACATCAAAAGTAATACTCTAAGAAACAACAACAGCAACACCACGATAAATGCAATATCAAGGGTTAAACAGCAATAACAAGAGCAGCAGCACCTACTGCACGCTAATCAAATCACAACAGCTAAAGGACGCAAACAGTGGTAATGTGCGACATAATGTCATTCTCAATGTGTCTATCGCATTTGAATCCTTGAGAGACTTGGAGAAAATAAAGAAAAACAAAAAAAGGGAAAAGAAGCAACACATACAATAAACAATACAGCAAAAAACATCAGCACTGAAGTAACCACAGAAAAAAATAAACACATAAACCTTCTTCCTCAGAACATTTTTCATTCAATAAAAAAGAAACCCATTAAAAAAAAAACCCAAAAAGAAGCCCATCAGCACAAAAAAAAAGCCCAATAAAAAGGAGCCCAAGTTCGTGTTGATTCTTCATCCGACACTGTCATCGTTCTCTCACCATATGTGTGTACTCTCATGTATATGACAACAAACAGTGGGATTCTGCAAAATGTATATTTGATAATTATTCATTTTCAGAAAATGAATATAAAATCATAGCAATAAATCATTAACAATTAAAAGAAATTTTCCAATGCAGCGAAGAACGCTGAAAAAAAAGAACGATCAATGTATTGCAGTATATGGGATTTAATTCAAAGGACCGTATTAAGCAAAAGTGTTTATTATTTCTGAATATGAATGGATCTCTCATGGAACCATCATAAAACCAACAACACACACAAGAAGTGCAAGAGGGGCCATGTAGGAAACCATGATGCTGCTGTCAGGACCCAACATACCCGTTACATTTGTATGTTTTAGTGTTTCTTCTTTTATTTGGTCCTCAGTTAAGTTTGTCCCATTCAAAACACCGTTATTTGCTGTGTGTGGGGACTGTATTGTGCTTTCAATGCCATTGGAATTAGCTGCCGATGAAAAAGTAGTAGCAGTATCATGGCGATTTCTTTGTGTAGACTCTTCTCCGTGAGTATTATTTTGGACGTCGGTGGAATCATCCGTTTGTGCGTTTGCCTTGGTTGGTGATTGAACTTTGTTTTCTGTTTGGTTTGGTACTTGCTGGTGGTCTTGAGCTTCGGCTGGTGTTTCGTTTTCATTTTGTTTATCATTGTTTTGAGCTGGTTGATCTGCAGGCTGTTGCGAGATTTCACGTGTAACGGTGTTTGCAGGATCAATAGTGGCGGAACCAGCAGCAGCAGGAGGAGAACTTAAACTCTGGCCGGATGGAACATCAACACGAGTAGATGCACTTTCACGTGCTTGCCCCATATTCTGATCTTCATTGCTGCCGTTATCATTGTTATTACCACCACTTCCAGTGTTGCTCCCGGGAGTCACAGAAGACGAACCGGTGTGCTCAGCATTTTCACTTTCCGGGTGTTTCAACGAAAGCGTTTGGGATTTAATCTCTTTCTCGACTTCCTGAACTTCTTGCTGGGGGTTTGGATGTTGTTGTCCCTCGGGTTGTGCAGAGGGTCGTGCATCGGGTGCGCTACTTCCCTGATTGGCAACAGCTGAAGCTCCAGCCGTGCGGACGGTGTTCTGAGCCTGTGCTGGTTCTTCATTTTCATCATCATCTTTCACATCAACGTAGCTCTCAGTAATTTTTGTGCCATTGTAAAACTTAATTTTGGTGGGTTCAGTTTTCGGCAACCCTGTACAGACTTCTTTGAAATTGGGACATTTAACACTTCCCTTATTGAACAAAGAATCCTCCAATGGGATTGATTCGCCATCGTTTTCGCACTTATACCAGTTCAGCTCCTTGTTATCATGACCTTTGAGCTGTACACTCACCTTCTTGTTATCATTATCACATTTCACCTTCGCACAAACGGCTTGAACTTTCACATCATCTTTATTGTCCTTCAATATCGGTGTTTCCAAATCCAGACACCGTGACATACTGCTCACAAGGTTACCAGGCATCAGTTCCTCCTCACCACCCTCACAGGCAGTGCCGTTCAAGGGTCTGATGAATGGAACACCATCCATCAGGTCATTCGCATCATTCTGTCTGTATTCGTCCTTAATATATTGGTATCTCCCACGTAAATTATTACGCTTGGCATCCGTTGAGCAAATACCAAGGGCAAAACGGTCTGAGGTACAGCGCAGGGTCATCGTATCGTCCTTGCAAAACATGTCGGGGTAGTGAGTCTGTGTTAAATCCTTTTTACCTTTAAACAAGTCACATATATATTGTTTCCCCCAACTCATCGGTTCTGCCATGCTGAAATTTGCGCTGTAGAAGGGCATGGAATGAAATGCTGCAAGTGTTAGTGCGGTGTAATACATGCCAGTAGTGCCAAAGGTATCACTGTAGGTACTCATCAACTCATCCTTCGCAATCCTTCGCTCCCAGTGCGGGGGTAAACCATTATTTTGTTCGTTTTCAAAATACAATCCCTTTAATTCATTCTTTTCACCATCTTTACATTCGTAAAGCCTCTTGAGTATTTCAAGAGTTTCAGAGGAATTCATATAGAATTCTTCTCCACCGTGTTTACCTCNTTTTTAAGGAGACCACCTCCTGCAAAATATAGTGTGGTTGTTGAGGAGACCACCTCCTTCAAAAATTTATTGAGTGCATTTAGTTTCCTTGAATAAATTCAAGTACTTAACCTTGGTACCACGATAAGGTAGCACAGCCTTACCAAGGAATTTGCGGTGTAAAATCCCATACCTTCAAATGCTGCAAGTGTCAGTTTAGTGTAGTACATACCAGTAACCCCCAAGGTATCACTGTACGCACTCATCAACTCATCCTTCGCAATTCGTCTCTCCCAGTGCGGAGGTGCACGTTCATTTTTTTCGTTTTCCAAATAGAAACCCTTTAATTTATCTTTACAGTTGTAATGTTTCTTGAGTATTTCAAGAGTTTTAGAGGAGTTCATATAGAATTTTTTTACACTGCTTGCCCCTCCTGTAGATAGCAGACCATTATCGCGGGGTTCTATCATTCCCAGTGTTTTCATAACATTACGGTCAAACCCCAGTCCATGCGCAATCTCATGTGCAGTAACGCGAATATACCTCCGTGTTGCTTCTATATACTCTGGGACGAATTTGATGACAGCAGACGTCGGTCGGTTTTGTTTATCCTTACTGCATATCTTAACTTTTTCGGGTGCGGTTGAGAGACTCACATAAATCATAAAATCAACATCGGAAATTCCATTAGTTTTATGTTCTTGGGGGATATTGAATTCAACACAGTCTTCAGTAATATTTGTGATCTTTAGGACCTCCTCCACCTGTTTTACCTTAAGGCGATCTGCGTGCAGTTTGATGGCTTTGGGAAGGACCTCCTTAAAAAGAATATCCTTCTTCTGCGTTAGCATCATCTGATTATTATATTCTTCACAGTGATCGCCAAACTCTTCAAAATCTTCTTGATCGTACTCCAACTCAGACGACATTACTTTCTTATTGCAGTACTCCATTATATCCTCCACAAGTTTAGTATACACGCCAATGCGGATGGGCTTCCATTCCTCACCAGTTTTAGCAGTAGCAACGGTGTACGCCTGTAGAGCATTTTGTCCTTTCTGTGGTAACTGCTGCACAACAGCAGCCAAACACCTGCAGCTGCAGTATAACAGGAACAGTGCAGTCCACAAGAGGTGACGCATGGAGTGTTTCTCCATTTTGTAGTTGTATGAATGTGTTTTTTTTTTTTTTTTTTTTGTACACGCAGAGTAAAGAGAAAAAAGAGAGGAAGAAAAGGAGAGAATAAAAGGTAAGCATGAATAGATATTACATTGGATCTAGCAGATAATTAAATACATGTATACATCAACAGTAATACTCTTAAAAAGAGAACAATAGTAGTTATGCCAAAAAGTAGAATGAGAAAAGATATCAATACACCCTCTTGTGGTACATACATACCAACAGTATCAACAACAATGCATTGTGAGCAGATTTGGTGTTTTTTGGTAATTGTAAGAAATGCAGAGAATAACAAATAGTCAAAATAATGAGTGCTGTACTGCCTTTAAACAAGTGAAAAAGATAGAAAGAACCCCATGGAAAGAGTGAATGATAACATGTGTTTAGATCTGTCCTTTGTATTAGAAAAAGACAGTGAAACTCATGCTTGACTAACCCACTAACTCCACTTGGTACACTATTTTTATTATTGCAATTCCGAGTACATCAATGAGGTAGTTGCTCATAATAAGCATTTGACTTTTCCACAGCTTCCACTTGATAATGGTTTTTTTTTTTCTTTTGCTCATCCATGTCAGGAGTAGAATAGCAGTAATCCCATGTACATGGAGTTGTATACGCCTCCTATTAATACTCTTTTCAGTAGGAATGTTTTTCCTCTCACCACAACCGAGACATTCATTTCCACTTGTGTTGTAGTTATCAATAAAAGGCGTATTTGAGGGTCCAGTGGCAATGTACAGCATTATATATGTGTCT